TCATTTCTCAATAATTATCAAATATTCTTTCTTCTTATCATTCCATCTCTCTCATTTCTCAATAATTATCAAATATTCTTTCTTCTTATCATTCCATCTCTTCTCATTTCTCAATAATTATCAAATATTCTTTCTTCTTATCATTCCATCTCTTCTCATTTCTCAATAATTATCAAATATTCTTTCTTCTTATCACTCCAACTCCTCTCATTTCTCAATTATCAAATATTCCTTTTTCTTCATTCCATCTCTTCTCATTTCTAAATAATTATTCAAAATATTCTTTCTTCTTATCACTCCATCTCATTTCTCAATAATTATCTATCATTCCATCTCTCTCAATAATTATCAAATATTTCTTATCACTCCATCTCATCTAATAATTCAAATATTTTTTCTCTTATCACTCCATCTCCTCTCTTTCTCAATATTATCAAAATATTCCTTTTTCTTGCCATTCCATCTCTTCTCATTTCTAAATAATTATCAAATATTCTTCTTATCATCCATCTCCTCTCATTTCTCAATAATTATCAAAATATTCCTTTCCTTCATTCCATCTCTTCTCATTTCTAAATAATTATCAAAATTCTTTCTTCTTATCATTCATCCTCTCATTTCTCAATAATTATCAAATAATCTCCATCTCTTCTCATTTCTCAATTAATCAAAATATATATTTTTTTTATCATTCCATCTCTTCTCATTTCTCAATAATTATCAAATATTCTTTCTTCTTATCATTCCATCTCTTCTCATTTCTCAATAATTATCAAATATTCTTTTTTTCTTGCCATTCCATCTCTTCTCATTTCTCAATAATTATCAAATATTCTTTCTTCTATCATCATTCCCTCTTCTAATTCTCAATAATTATCAAATATTCTCTTCTTATCACTCCATCTTCTTTCCAATAATTATCAAATATTCTTTCTTCTTATCATTCCATCTCTTCTCATTTCTCAATAATTATCAAATATTCTTTCTTCTTATCACTCCATCTCCTCTCATTTCTCAATAATTATCAAATATATATATATTTTTTATCATTCCATCTCCTCTCATTTCTCAATAATTATCAAATATTCTTTCTTCTTATCATTCCAGACTCTATATCCACACGGAGCAAAGTCCTGAGTGTGCTGATCTCAACCCTTCTCCTGCTGGCGGTTCTCCACTAGCGCTTAGGAACACGAGTGTAAAGGGAACGTGATGGAAACAAAGAGAGAGAAAAAAGATTAAAAAATAAGAATGATAACCAGTGTAATGGAAGAGAAACTTGTTCTTTGTCGAGTGCTATATATAAATCAGGGAGGTAATTTAAATTTTAAGTTCTAGGAAGTTGATAATGATGACAAATGCATGTCAAACTTGAACACTCTGGATACCAAGACGAGAGTGAAAAAAGAGAAGAAAAAATATATAAACTTCCTTATGAAGAAAAATGTACGACTATACTTGCTTTGTTATTTTTTAGATGATGAATAATCGAGAAAAATAATACTGATACTCATACTAGTCATACAGATCTGGTTCAGTGAATGATGTTAAATATAAATGGATCAAAAGAAAGAGAAATAAACAAAACAGAACAAAAAATAAATAAAATGGATAAAAGGGAGGGGAACGACCATCAAAGAGAAAATCAGATGAAACAAAATGTAAATATTTAACGTCCTCTCCTGTTTGTGCACGCGCGTTTTTTGTTGTTGTTTTTTCTTTCTTTTTTTTTTTCTGTGTGTGTGTGTGTGTGTGTGTGTGTGTGTGTGTGTGTGTGTGTGTGTGTGTGTGTGTGTGTGTGTGTGTGTGTGAGGAACTCCAGGAACCTATGACGCCCAAGCCAAGCCACGCCCATTGTGAAATTGCTATGAGGGCGTATGTTCCAGTCTTGTATCATTATTTTTTATTGAAAAAAAAGAGAAAAATAATAGATCGTAGGAATTAAGATAGCTTTAAGGGTATTATTATTATACTATTATTTATTGTATAAAGAAAAGAAAGAAATTTTATCTTTTTACTATAATTATATATTCATAACTTAATGTTTAGAGAAGTCATTTTAAGTCAGATGTGTGTGGAGTCGGTAGAGAAATTTCAGTCACGGTTCGAGAGGCGAGAAGTGGAGGCAAAACCTGCTCTCGGGGTGGGTCGCTCACGGTTTAAGTCTTTCCTGTCTGTTTTATTTTCTGAGTTTGCCAGCCTCTCCTTCTGCCATTGGTTGAATATATGAACGCATATACACACACGCATACGCATACGCATACGCACACGCATACACACACACACACACGCACACACACACACACGCACACACACACACACACACACACACACACACACACACACACACACACACACACACACACACACACACACACACACACACACACACACAATCCCCCATTTCTTGACCTCTGGTTCACGAAATTTAGCTAATTTTATAAAACGCTGAGCAACAGGTGGCCTCATTAAAGAAGAAGAAGAGAAAAACTTGGCCTGA